CCCCCCATCTTCGATGGGGGGCCGGTCGCGGAGTGACCGGAGCCTTGTAAAGGCTCCTACGTCACGTCCGCCGCTTAGCTTATAACAAATTCCTAGAAGTTGCTTTGCAACTGTACTATGATTGCTATACTTAATTGATAAAACACTTGATTAGTTTGTATGGGAGGATCGGACCTACGTACTCGGTACATTAATTTAATATATTAACAAAACTTAACTCTATTGATCACATAAGCCTCAATGGTGTAATGGTAGCATATCAGGCTCATGACCTGAAGGTATTAGTTCGATTCTATTTTGAGGATAAGAGATGTAGTTTAATGGTAGAATATCGGTCTCCAAAACCGTTGATCTAGGTTCGATTCCTAGCATCTCTGTACTTAAGCAGCTTCGCGATTGATATTTTTACAATCTAAGTGCGGAAGCCTACTTTATGTGGAGGAGTTCTTACTTTTATTTTTATAGCACATAATATCAGGCTAAAGAAGGCATCTAGTGATACTAATAAACAATAAAATATAACGGTGAACCTACCTACACAATAGAGTAACCTAACTGTGTCAATCAGCCGCTTGAGCGGCTAATAACCTAAAATACAGGTGAGATAAGTTGACTTAGTCTACTCATCTCATAAAATCAACTTCAATAGTTACACGGAATACATGTACTTTGATAATAAAAAGGTGGAGTAATCAATTCATGCGAACGCTATTTGTTAAGCAGCTAACTTAGACTTTCAAACACCTATTTTACCTTAATGCAATTCAGTTGTGTAGCCTATGAGATACCTTTAAAATAACTCATATAAACCTTTTTCTTATTCTTCTATCTGATAATGCACCAGTCCTCAATAACTATGTGGATAGGGAAATAAGTTATAGATTTGTGTGCTTATTAAATCTAAAAGTCTTATAAGTTCCTTAAGTATACCATCTAATTATTAATCAATAAAACACATAATAGGGTCTTGTGTACATACTGATTATAGACCCTACCACCTAACTCACAACTAAATAAATTGAGTAATTCAAACAAATTACGTACGTCAAGCCCAAATAGGTAAGTAGCAATAAACAAAGCTAAAGGTTGATAGATAAATCCTGGAATTAAACTAGCTGCGTCAATAAGAACTTCATAAGTATGGATGCTTACACGTTTTAGATAATAGTGCTATCGAAGAGAATACCAATAGTTCATTTACTTATTCGTGTCTTTCCAAATCTAAGAAGAAAGCTTGAACCTGATTTTGCATCTACCGGGTGGGTCTAATAGGTTGCATAACAGCACACGGCCCAATGCTCATCAAACCTAAGCAGGGTGAGCTATAGTAACAGCAGCCGCTCATTGAGCGGCTTAATATAAATGAACAACAGCAAACGTACGTCATAGTTTGGGTACACTTTAGCATCGATCATAGA